TGAGAACACAGACAGGAGCCACCACACCAGTCTAGAGAACCCACTTTGCAGACACAGTGCGGTGCCCACTGCTGCAAGATAGAAGATGCGGAGCAGGGCTTTCTAATGTCCTGTAGGTTTGAGATTTCTAAGTGAGAGGACATTAATACAAGTAGGCGCTGGTAGAATAGTAAGCTGCTGGCTTATGGTGTTGGCTTAGACAGAAAAACTCATTGGGGAAATAGTAAAATGGTACTGTGTGATGGTAGGGACTTTACCTGGTGACTGCTTTCACACAGAATACTACGAAAGGAAATGTCTGAGGACAGATGGTTGGAAGCACAGGGGACATCTGTCACTTCTATTTAGTTTGATGAGGCAGGGTCTTGCTGCCTAGCCTGGACTGCTTGTATAGTCCACGCAATGCACACTTCACCCAGACTCACTATCCTTGGGCCTTTGCCTCCTGAGTGCTGGCTTTACGTATGTGTGCCGCTGTGCCAGGATTTAAAGGGGGATCTGCTAGCGTGCACCTGTGACATCTGGCAGCTTCGCTGTGGGGCTCTGACAACTGTCGGAGGCAGCCTTGTGCATGTAGCAGAGCTCTTGTTACTCAGCGAGCTCTTCTAATACTGAGCTCAAACTCTTCCTCCCTGCCCTACCCATCCGGATGGCCACCTGCTCTTTGAGGCAATGGCATTGCAGAAGAAAGACGGACATGCTGTAGCATCCTGACAGGCCAATGTAGGCTTCCTTTGGAAGGCAGTGTGTCCGTACTTCTGACATACTTTACTTCATCTTTGTTTTTCTCTCGAATGCTTTCTCTCTGCTTAACTCAAAAGCTCAATCCAGACATAATTTCACAGACAGTGTTTCTCTGGGACCCTCCACCCCCCACTAGCTAGTTTAGGGACAGCTAGTGGTGTTGTATGATGTCAATACCTGCTAAGTTTGGGATTGATATTCGTTGGGCAGTGGATATGTGCCATGTGGTCAAGGGCCTCGGCAGAGAAAGTGTTGTCTCTAGAGCAGCGACAAGAAGAGGAGGGCATAAACATTGCTATGGGACATGTTTACACCTAGCCTCGATGTCCCCGCTGCTGCTGCTGCTCCTCCGTCATGACTGGTGTCTAGTTGTCCCTCTTGCTTTGCCTGTTTGCATGAGGCCTGCTGGGTGGTAGAGACAGGCTTCTGTGGAGTAGTTTAGTGTGACAATGGGAACTGTTGCTTGGCTTTTATTGCTCCTTTCCAGAATAAACAGTTAAATAGTAAGAACGGGTATACCGTCTAAATTTCAGATACCCTTCTAGATACAAGAATGGAGGAGTGCAAAACCACGCAGTGCTCCTGTAGCTTATATTGTGAGTGGGGAAAATAGAACCAAAAGTTATCAAATTGTATTGGTAACCACCTTGAGGAAAAGCAAATTTGAGGTAAATGGTTATAGATGAACCTGAGTATTTCATAGAAGGCAGCCAGGGAAGTGAAAGTGTCATTGGCCAATCCTACAGTGCCATTTACTTGCTGTGAAAGAGGGCATAATGAACAGGAAGTAAGATGGCATGCCGGTAGGTTTGGAAAGCCAGGCAGAGCTGAGTCATGCAGTCTGCTGCTGCTCCTCTGTGTGCAGTGTTTATGAGATTCTGCCTCTTTATGCTCTCCCGATGCTTTCTGTTTTAGTTCAGTTTCCTGGCTGCCATTAGTGCTTGAAATGAGTGCTGAAGGTTAAGGGCAGTTTGGTGGCTGAAATCGTTTTGCTGGCTGAAATGTTGACAAAAGGAAAAAGGAAGACTGAATGTTGAGTCTTAAAACTGGCAGGAACCACCATATAGGGAGTGTCGGAAAGGCTCAGTAGGACATAGGGTCTCAGAGCGGCATTTTAAAATGAAGAAGTAGGAGATTTGAACCCTGTTTTAGAAGGGTGGTACTGGTTCCAAATCTCAGCTGAACGGTATCTTTATTATTAGTAATGCACACTCTGTGGATACATCATTAATTTCGAGGAAAGTAAGATTCCTGCGGAAGCCTCATTGTCAGTTAGCATTTCTGGGTATTGTAGTTTAAAATGTTAAATGATTCACGAGGGAGGGCCTATAGTTCTTAAAGCCACTAATTAAATGTCTGCAGGGCTTTAAGTGAGAGCTGAGTAGTTATAGAAAAGCAAATCCCCTAAAAGCCCATGTCCTTTCAGTACTGAGCCAGGCTGCAATTAACTTAGTCCTATTTGTCCATGCAAATCCTCACAGGGTGTGGCATTTAAAAAGTACTCCTTGTTCTTTCTTGAAGTGTCTAGGGAAAAAATCCTGTTATTCCCTCACCCTCCTGAGCTCTAACTCCTGGCAGAAGAAAGCAGCCAAGTCCAGCTCTCCCCTTCCTGAGGGCGCCAGGGTCCCTGTTCTCATAAGAAAGCCTTAAGCTTTCAGCCTTGGAGATTTAAATGTGCTTGGGGAAAATGCCTTGAGAACAAGTGTACTTGATTACACAGCTCGTTCTTAGCATCCTAACAACTTCGAGGCTCTTTGTAGTGGAGCTTTTAGAGCAGAAATATGGTAACATGTGAAGTTTATTTCAAAGCACTTAGTCTTCATGCTGACAGCTCCAGCTTCTTAACAATACTTATGTTTTCTTTGCCAGGACAAAGATGAAACTCCAATGGGAAGTGAATCTTTTGATTTACAAAAGTGTATTTTATCATTTGAAAACAGGTTGAATGGAGTTTTACCTAGTGATAGAGTTTAACATCCATTAGTCATTCATTCTGCATACTCTGCTTATGTTCTCTTATAAGTCTCTGCCATATGACATGTAAAACAATTATTACTGTCATGAAGCTTAACTCTTCCCATGGTCAAATAACCTGGTTTCTGGTTAAGGCCCGGACACTGACTCTTTTACCTTTGATTGTGTGTGTGTGTGTGTGTGTGTGTGTGTGTGTGTGTGTGTGTGTGTGTAGTGTTGGGGTTAGAACTCAGGTACTTATATAAGCTAAATGAATGAGTATTCTATCATTGAGCTATCCTGTCAGTTCAGCCTACTTATTCTTTTAGCATTAGCCATTCAATTACTGATTTAATAGTGATTTCCCTCCGATGATTAATTCTTTGATTATAATCTTGCATTTTGCATTTAACCTGATAAGCCACTAATATATGTTATGGGCGTGGTGGATATCTCACTACAATTCCCCTTTTAGTCTAAAGATGGGCATGGTCAGTGCTACAGGTATGGGTGTGGGAGATATCTCACTACAACACATTTTAATGAGAATTTTCAAACCTACAAGGAAATGTAATAGCGCAGTGAATTGCCACGTACCAACCACAGGAATTTCATAACACATGCCTGTAACACCAAGACTGGGGAGGTGAAGGCAGGAATCCTGGGGTTTGGTGGCCAGCAAGTCTAGATGAATCTGCAAAATTCCAGGTTGATTGAGAAACTCTGTCTCAAGCAATAGATTGAGAATGATACCAGTGTAGAAGATCATGTCTCTAAAACAAGGTGAATGAGTAGCAATTGAGGGTGATGAGTCCTAGCTAAAATAAGGTAGAACATAGTACAGAAAGACACCAGGTTGCAACCTCTAGCCTCCATGTGTGTTCATTTACACTCCTGGCACATCACAAAGAAATGAGGGTTATGTAAAGGGGAGAAATATATGTATCTGTTCTTGGAATGACATGTTTTCCATGAATTCTTTTTATGCCTTTCTTTTTTATGTTTTTATTTAAATTAGAAACATGCACGCTTCAAATGTCAATCCCAGCTCCCTCTCCCACCCTTCCTCCCTTGTCCCTCCACCATCCCGTTTCTAGCCCCCCACCCAATCCCCATATCATTCCCCAGGGAGTGTGAGGCCCTCCTTGGGGGGATCTCCAGAGTCTGTCATTTCATCCAGGGCAGGACATAGGCCCTTCCCGGTGTGTCCAGGCTGAGAGAGCATCCCTCCATTCGGAATGGGCTCCCAAAGTTCATTTGTATGCCATGTTGAACACTAATCTACTATCCAAGGCCCCAGAGATTTCTGTGGCTTCCTCACTGACACTATATTCATGGAGTCTGGATCAGCCCCCTGTTGGTCTCTCAGCCATCAGTCTGGGGTTCAAGAGCTCCCCCTTGTCCAGTCAGCTGTCTTTGTGGGTTCCACCAACACGGTCTTGACCCCTTTGCTCATCACTCCTCCATTCAAACCATCATAGTTGCTGTCAACAGTTATGACATGGGATGGGAGAATATCATTAGCATGAATATGGGATACTTCCCCTCTCTGTCCCCCTCCCTCTTCCCCTCCATCCATCTCTTTCTTTTACATCTTTTTTTGAGACAGTGTCTCAGTCACATACAGCCTAAAATGACCTTGGACTTCCTATGTAGTCTAGGATAATCTTGAACTTCCAATCCTGCTTCATTCTCTGCATGCTCAGATTACAGGCACCCACCACTATGTCTATTTTTTATGCGGTGTTGGATATTAAATACAGAACTCTGCAAGATAGGCACTCACTTTCTTCTCTAGCTGACCTACATTCCTAGTCCAAATATTCATTTGTGGTGATTAATGAAGTTCTTAGCTATCTGGTGGTCATTTAGGCAGTCATCTTAGATCTCACCAGTTTAAAACTAGCCTACAAGAAGAGGAATTTCTGGTCAATAGTAATCTTTCCTCAAAGAAAAATAAATTTGGGGGTGATAAAATATGCATCTATATCACTTAGGCAGAGCTCTACATAACAGGCGATTCTTGGCATATGGACAGATGATTACATGTGGACAGGCGATTAAAGGAATAATATTCATCTGTTTCGTACAAATCGCAAAGGTTAGTATGTGTCAGGTTTTTCAGCCCACTGGAGAAAAGCGCACTTGTGCTACTGAGTGTGCAGTTGATACAACCTTTGCGAAAGTGATCTGGGATGTATTATTATCATTCTAAATGTCCATCATCCTCATTACCTTATAATCTCTTCATTCAGACTATCCAAATTGTGATTTCCCCTGTTTCTGTGTCTGCTTTCTCCTAGATGTTGATATTTGTGATTCTCACCTCAAACTGGTAGCCTGACCTTGGCTCCTGAGTTCTGCGGTCCCTTCACAACTGCAAGTCATTCTGATACAACATTTTGGTTGACATTGTCTGCTGTTCTTTGGGATCTTTAGAACAATACCCAAGTTCAAATTATCACTGCTGAGTTGCCTGATTGTGCACGTGCAAAAAAATTTCACCATTTGTGTTACTTGCTTCAGCTCTCTGTGCTTCGGCCTGTTCTGTCTGCAGTCATTGCGCATGCACCTGTGTTATCATATAAAAAACGGCTTAGCCCTTTTGACCTGTGTTGTCAATTTTATTGTTTGCTTATTAAGTATTACAAATTAATATTTATTACTCAGTGATAATGAAACTTTCAATCATTGTAAATTTGTCTAAGTCAGGATAAGAGGGACCTCCAAGCAAAATCCCCAAGAAGATGGGTGATGGAAATGCACCAAGGCTGACTAAGGCAAGAAAGGTGATGCTGACAGCAAACTAAATGAATTGAGATGTTTGATAATGGTGAAAGTAAAATCTCCGTATGGCAATGTTTATTTCTGAGTCTCTGATTTGTGAAGTGAAGAAAAATGAGTGCAGTAAGAGCCAGTGCGATGAGGGACAGACTGGAATCACTGGAAAAATCACGCAGAACAGGAAATGTTGAAATAGGGAAAATAGGAATTTACTTGTATTTGTAACTTCTGAACCAGAGGTTGAAGAGGCCTCTTTCTATTTGCAAAAACTGTTGATGAATCCCTGAATTCAAATTTACCTCTGTATCTAGATAAAACTTTAGAGTATTCATGGCAAGGAATGGGTAGTCAGATAAGCTTAAGAAACATTATGGGCTGCATGGAAAAAAGTGGCAGGCAGAGAAAGCAGGTCATGAGGTTGTTGCCAAGTACCCTGAAAGTGACAAGCGGGAGGACATATGAGATGGCAGTTTGCCTGGACAGTGCACACGAAGTGGTCCCGTTCTATCAGTGCATGCGCGGAAAAGGCATTGTTGAACGTATGCTTTGTCCCAATGTCTCTGATAATGTGCCTGATAAATTCTGGCCACTTTAAAATCCAAAATATTTGCTCTTTTAAAAGAGAGTACCAGACACTACATCTACATGAATGAAAACTATAAACTAAGGGTAACTGAGAAACTCTTTGTGAATTGCTCTTCAGTGTGTTCGCTACTGAGGTTAGAAATCAATATTTCCATGAAAATGATACCTACGTGAAATTATAGCTGATTTGGGAAAATGTCACCACTGGAAAAGGTATGATAGTGAATGCTGGTCCTTGTGTGCGAATCATCTCCATTTTCCTGAGACCAGCTCTTCTCCTTCATCCCCACATTGGGCTTTGGAGTGCTCACAATGTTCATAAGGTGCTTTACTCAGCTCTGTGAAAGTAACCCAGAGGATTTTCTTCTTGTCCTACAAGTGTAGGAGAACAATGAGAAGAATAACATTCTCAACCCCTAGTGGGATGTGGCAGAAATTTTAGACTGAGGTTGTTACTGGTTCTGAGTGTTTTCTTCCAGTCATAGAAGAAACTGAAAATGTCCCATTGGGCAAAACGTTTGGGTCATGGAGGATTTGAAGAGATGGAGTTAAGTGATGTTACTGATCCCTTGACTCTCATCCTGAGAATATACTTGAAGAAATATTTTACAGGTAGGATTACATCAAATGATGACTAAAAGCCAGTCACCTTAGGTTGGCATCCAAAAACTCAAAGGATATTAAGATGTGCATTCTGCATATCAAATCATTAGGCAGGAAGAAATCCTTCAGTAGAGTACATATGGATCTTCAGAGAGCCTTATGTGAGAACACACAGCCCTATGAGTCTGTACCAACCAAGGTCAGTAAGTCTTTTCTCTCTGTTTAACAGGGGAAAAGGAATGTGGACCATCCTCCTAGTCCTCTAAACAGTGCCACACACCAGCAGTTGAAAGTTGGGATTCAATACCCTCCTCTGGTGGTTCTCATGATATGCTTGGTGATCCATGTGCTGGCAGAAGAAAGAAGACCAAGAATACTCCGCAGCAGACTCTGATTTTTCTGTTCTGTCCTTACCACTGTTGTCATGAGCCACATTGTCATAAGTGCATTGTTATGCTCACCATGAGGTCAGAGAAAAACAGACAGTTAATTGCAAAGTAGTTACAACTGCTAATGTAAAGTTTGTAAAATATCACTGACATGCACTTTGGTGTTTTATTTCTGTCAACAACCCTGTTTGTTGTGGACTTTTACACTGCTCCTTTCTGTCTCTTACCCTCTACCACAATGGTGTTAAATTCCTCGGACATGCATAGTGTGAGGGTTTCTGGAACACATTCTAGAACCTAGGAAAGTGGGAGGGGCCTGATATCTGTGCATTATCCTCTTTATCCTGAAATTTGCTTTAAGTTTCGATTATGTCTAACTTGATATTTTGCCAGAGGGATTAGTTTGGCATAAGTTCATTTGTTGTGTGTCAGTTTGCAAGATAAGGATTGGCTGATCCCAAGAGGCAGTGCATTTATCATAAATTCCTAGATTTGTATGGGTACCTAATCAAGGAGGAAGACTTAGTATACTTCTTAATAGAGTTCATTTCCATAGTTCCTTCCTTTTCTCACGCTTGTACTGCCTCTAGTGTTTTGAGACATTGAGCATCCTCCAGAAAAGAAATGCTGATGCTTTTTGGTCCCAGAAGGTACTGCAGAATTCATTTCTAGTTTGAGAGTTTAATTCACCTTCGTAATCTCATTATTTGATTAAAGGGTTGTTAAAGTGGATCTTGAATCTTTGGAAGTTGCTATGCAGATTTCACAAAGGGGACAAATCACAAAGCTAGAGGTAAGAGTCTCAGATACTGTTTGTCACAGGCATATGATGAGCCTGCCTGGTCTTTTAACTACTTACACACATACTCACTCACTCACCTGAGGTCTATTCTGAACTCAGTTGGATAATTTTTCTGGGAACAGACAGGAAGTCTGGCTATGAGCCCCCCACACTGACTGTATACGATGATGATGTGAAAATGTCTGAATAGAGGAAGAAAAAGAAATCATGGCATGAAGCTGCCAGGAAAGAACTTAATATAGCCAAAAATGCACAAAGGCAACTCGGAATACAAGAAATATGTTCAGTAATGAACAAAATGTTACCTTTGAGTCACAGTGTTAAAGGCCTTTGCTCACACAGTTGTGAATGAGATGAGATGTCCCACATTCTCAACAAGCTTAGAAGCGCATGTAGGTTTAAAACCTGTTGTTAGATACTGTGGACCTACCTAGTAATGTCACAGTGCTGGACATTGCTCTAACCAACAGGGATACTTTAGCATTGACTGTGTTTTGGAATCAGGGACTAGAGCTATGAAAATTAGGAATGTCTGGAATGTGTTCCTGGCAGTAGGACCAGCACCTATATATTTGGAAAACAACTCAAGTGGTTCTATCTACAGCCCTAGATTTAAAGTGCTGCTTTGAGGAGAAATGAAATAAAGATAGAAAAAATAGAATAGAAATAGCAGTGGGCACAGGGAACAAGGCAAACATGATCGATTCAGTCCTTTTTCTGCTGCTTGTTCAATGGACAGTCTTACTCAAGTTACTCCATACTTGTTATAGCTTCCAAATGAGAGTATAGTATCTTGGTCTTCGAGGTCCTTGTAAGTCTATCACATTTAGAGAAAATTTCATCAACCTTGTTGTCTGACTTTGTGATTACCTTAGCCCTTACATAAAGGTCAGGGAAGGTGGTAGTGTTAAATTGTATTCATATTATTTGAGAATTGTGGTCATTTGGACTGTGGATGTAGTTCAGTGGTAGTACCATTGCTTGGCAAGTGAGAGACTCTGGGTTCACTCTCCAGCCTTGTAAAAATGTGCTTGTGAGTCAAGCTTTATATATTTTAGACTCCCAGAAAAGAAAGTTAGGTATAAGTGACATATAATAAAAAGCAAACATAGTCAACTTCTTAATGAGAAAAGACCTTCCATGGGGGAGGGTGTATGTGCATGTGTGTGTATGTGTATGTGTGTATTAGAATCTGATAATTTCCCCATGAATTGATATTACCCACCTTGCCTATCATTGTTGTTAACTTTATCAGACTTAGAGAAATCAAATTTTAAATCAAATTACACCAACTAAGAACTCAGTGTAATAAAGTGAAAAATTGACCATTATTTTAATTGAGTAGGACTATCTAGACTGGTAGTTGCCAACCTTCCTAATTCTATGACCATTTAATACAATTCCTCATGTTGATGGTCTACACAGTGGTTCTCACCCTTCCTAATGCTGTGATCCTTTAATACAGTTCCTCATGTTGTGATGACCCCCGATATAAAATTATTTTCATTTCTACTTCATAAGTGTGATTTTCCTACTGTTATGAATGTTATTTAAATATTTTTGAGATAAAGGTTTGCCAAAGGGGTCACATGCCACAGGTTGTGAGAACCACTGATCTAGATTTTCAATGATTGAAAACATTGATTTAGGACTCCAGTCATTTGAATTAAAATGCTGAGATACAGCTAATTCTTAAGACAATATCCAATTAAGTTTTCAGAAGTACCATGAGTGAGGAGACATGATAGATTGTAGTGTGCTTAATATTAGAAAACTTTAATCTGCTTCAGTTCAAAAGTCAGCCAAATTTATAGGAAGGTATAATAACTTGGTATAGGCCAACGTGATAGAAGTAGAATTTAATGACAACAGTCAAGTACATATCCTTATTTTTCTTTAAATTCTGAAAAAGTTAAAATTTTTATGTCTGTTTAATTCTCTTTTGGGGTATGTTAATGAATATGTATGTTGCTGTATGGTATGTGTGTTATATGTGTATGTGTACATTGCTTTATACACCGTGTGAACATGGTGGCCACAAAAGGATATTGGATGTCTTGCTCCAACACTCTCCAGCCTATCCCCTTGAGTCGGGTCCCTTACTGAATCTGAAGCTATGCTGGCAGACAGAAAGACCTAACCCTCTTGTTTATACTTCATCTCTCAACTTTGGAGTCACAGCTTATTTTGGTAAATGTGGTTTTGGTGGTTCAAATTTAGGTTCTCATACTTGCAGAGCAAGCATTATTCTCCACTGAACCATCTCCCCAGCCTTGACATTTATTTTAGTTGGTTTTATCCAGTTTTGGTCATTGAACAGTTTGGGCAAGTTCTTGATATCAATATGAAGAAGCACACAGATAGAAATTTCCTTCTTGATAGGCATATTTAATCACAGGAAAAAGGAACAGAAATAAAATGGATTAGAAAGCTGCCAATTGATTTTAAAAGATCCTTTTGTTTATGACCCTACGTTGGAAACATGGGAGAAACGTGTTTAACTTGCACATTTAGGTCATATGTCTGCCACCACATGAACATTAGTAAAATACTTCAGCAATATCTGTTTTCATCAATCTGTGAACAGTGCCTTTGACATGAAATATATTGATCACTGAACATTACATAGGATTCTTACTTTTCAGTGGTCTTTCTTTGATGTCTGTGTTGTAAATTAATTGTGTTGTGAACAGAAAATACATATTTTGATGGAATATAAAGTTAGACAAAGGGATAATAGAATATTTCCTTAGCATAAGTTACACATATGGAAAAACTTACTATACATCTAGCATATCTGAGACAATGGATTTTTGCCTTGCATTGCCTGTCATCATCCAGAGTTAGTACTTGACTACTTGGCAGTGATTGGATATGTATCCTAATGAGAAATACAAGTGACTTCAAGTGAGGGTTTGCACATTCACTTTTTTTTGTCTTTTATGAGTTGGGCACGCTCTGCGTTCGGATTGGTGGTACTTAGTCCTGGCAAGTAAGCCTTTGGTTTTGAGGGTATGAGAAGTCAGCACACAGTCTAGGCCTTAGAATTAGACAGATGTGTTTCCAAATTATCTCATGTCAATTACTAGCTGTGTGGCTGTGGCCATGTTTGTTAACTATTGTAGACTTCATTTTCTAATCTGCAAAATGGGGTGGAAATGCCTGTATTATTAGGAGGCAAATGAAGATCACACAAGATGCTTAGTACAGTGCCTGGCACATAGTAAGCGCTCAATAAATCATTGCTATTATTATTATTATAATACTATAAATAAGTATTGTGTATTAGAACATGATGATTTATACTTGGCAAAATTTCAATATTGATTTCCTTCCAAATATGGCATAAATGATGGTTTTAAAAGAAAGAGTAAGAAAGGAATTTTAGCATTTTTTCTTCTTTGCTGGTAAGGGACACCTGAAACAGTTCCATTGTTCCTGCAGTAATTCTTTTATACTGTGTTTATAATGTGATTACTATTGCATGATGTTGATTTACCTGGTGATTTGACATAAATGTATTCCTGTACTCTTGAAAATCCATCTGCTTTGTTCCACCTTAAAGATAAATGAGCTACTCTGATGTAGGGAATGATAATAAATCTGTATAGAATGCCTTCTTGACCACTATATTTTCAGCTTAGTTTCCTTTCAAATAACTGCAAGGCAAAAGTTTCTTACTAGGCAAGAGAGATTCTTCGCAACTGGCTTCTGAACTTATTGGTATTTCATACATTTATCATGGCATTCAGGAATTTTTAAGGAGTGGTAGTCAGAAAGTAGGGTATTCATCAAGACTGTTTTTTAAGTCATACATCTTTCATTGCATCAATTCAATTTCAGACTACTGCCTAATAGTATTATTGCAGTGGACTTCCATCAAAACTCTTTTCTTTCAACTTGGAATATTTGGTATACTAGGCACTGCATTTGTGACTGTATGTGCCCAGTAGTCTTTGCTCCTTAGCACCTCTCTGCATGACTGTCATCATCTTTGTTTCTGATTCACATATTTCCTTGTAAGAAGACCCACAATGAATGTCCATTGTCTCTTTGATAGCTGTTTGATTTTTAAGTCATAGGCCATTCCCAGTACTCCTTATTAGTTTTGACTTCTTGAGTTCTCAGTATGTAATACATGAGCCAATTCCTGTCCTCCTAAGCCTTATACAAGTAATAAGGGACTTGAGGCTATACCTCAGCTTTCATCTAATGGATGTAAAGTTCTAGTGAGTGAGATCAGGACTTTACATATAATTTTATTCATAAGATGACCCTACCAAATTATAGCATCCTTCATTTTTCTTGTCTCCATGTATGTTTGATCTACAGGGGTGGACTTCCTCCCTTCCTCCTCCCCACCCCTGTGTGTTTATGTAATCCTCTAGCTTCTGACCATTATCTTCCTTGACTGGGACTTTGGGTTTTGGCAATTTAATTTTAGCTCTGACTATAAGGGCACCTAAATAATTGTCAGCCTCTACTCCGGATTTTCAGCATGTTACACAGCATCTTTTGTACCACTAGGCTTAAAAATGTTGCATCTGTACTCTTGCTAACCTTGGATGTTCTTAAGTTTACTATACTCTAGATTTCCAGAGCAGGGCTTAGAAAACTAGAGCCTTTAGCACAAATCCACCCACCCAAAATTTTTTTGGAAAAAAAATTGTTTTAGTGGAATGTCATTCTAGCTATAGTTTTCCTAATATGTGTTCACACTAAGAGTGTAATTGAGTAGTTTGAATAGAGACCACTAAATTTTAACAACCTAATCCTTTACAAGAACATATTTGCTGAACCCTGATTTAAAACAAGTAATTTTTCAAGTTCTTTGATAATTTACATCCTACTGGCATTCATTCTGTCACCCATGAATGCTAAAAAGGTCAGTTAATTGAGAATGTGAAGATAGGTTCTAACACATTCTAACCTTTTCTTTTTACTTGAACTTCTTCCTTCCTCATTGTCATCTACTTAAAATGCCCTTGCCCTTATTTTGCTTTTTAGTAGAAGAGATGAAGTGGTCATAAAAGTCTGTGCTATGGTTTGATTATCTTTGAATATATCATCTACATCATAATATGAAATGCTCTCAATATTACCAATATTTTTTAACACGAACTTCTAGTTTCTAAGATCAGGCCTTTCTATCTTACAGTATATATAACTCAGTTCTTCTAAGTTCCACAAATGACAATACTTTCAATAACTCGATTTTCTTCGTATTGCAATATCCTTATTTTCTGGTCTCTGGCCTGAAGTATCTCCAATGTTTGTGTTTTCTAGTCTTTCCAGTATATTAGAGTAATTAAAAGTCTTAAAGTCTTCCAATATTTTTATCACTACTTAAAGTCAATCCTTGTCTTTCACAGTCCAGACTAATACATTTCAGATTTTCTGTGGTCCCAATTATTCAATATTTCCTATTTGTAGGACTTCTAGAGTCCATTTATTTCATATCACCTAAGTGTAGCTTTTCCCATATATTGTAGTATATTGTTCAGCTATCAGGTTGTTATTATTATTATTATTATTATCATCAACATCATCTATTAATGTCTTCTAAATCTTGATTTTACAGTGTCCTTTTAAAAATCAAATTTATTATTTGACTATTTCATGTATGTATATATAATGCATTATGATTTCTCTAATCCCTATCCTTTTTAATCTCCTCCTTATCACTGCCAATATTCATCCTCATTAGAAATCTGCTTGTTGCATTCATGTATTTTTTGTTTTGTGACCCACGGAGTTTAACAAGGGATATCCATGTGCCCATGGGTATGGAACTATCCTTTGAAGTATGGGAGGCTCACCAAAGTCACATCTGAAGACAGTGACTCCCCTTCTCCTAGTATCAGTAAGTAGCCAGTAGTTCCCCGAGGAAGGGCAGAACCCCATCAGTCCTTTCCTCATCTGTGATTGACAAGCCCCATCTTATAGCAGGCTCAGTAATGGTAACTCCATCTATTGTGAGTTAATGACAGCAATGACTTTATCATGCCCAGAATATAGCATTCCATTGCCCTTTTCTCTTGTCATCCAGCTCTTAGATTCTCTCAACTCCAATAACGTCTTTTTATTGCCAGGTCTTCCCTGACAGGAACTCTCTCTTTCTAACACTCAGGTGTTCTATTACTCTGAACCTATAAATAATTAGATATTTAAGCATCTAGAGCTCTTAACATCTAGGGTTACCAGTATCATTTAAACATATTTCTTATGAATTGGTTTCTGATAGGACTATGGCAATATTGAGGGTTTTTTATTATCTCTGTATAGGTGGGGTTTTTTATTTTGTGATTTGTAAATGTCCAGGTCTTTTGTTCTCCATAAAACTACTGATTAGGTAGGGGCTCAAAATACAAGATTTGTAATGCCTTGATTATCCCAAACTTCTAGAATATGGCTTTCATAATCAAATATCCAAATATTCAGTATTTCCAAAAATCCTATGCTTATGATGTTTCCAATATCTAGGGTTTCCAGTGGTGCCAGTATCAAGATCTTCCAACATCTTCAGGTCTTCCAGCAACTGCAAGTCTTCCAACAATGTCAAGGTCTTCCAGACAATCCTGATCTTCCAGAAAATACATGTCTTCCAGACAATCTCCATGTCTTCCAGCAAATCCCGTCTTCCATATAATCCAGATCTTCCAGGAAAATCCACGTCTTCCAGGAAAATCCACGTCTTCCAGAAGAATCCACGTCTTCCAGAAGAATCCATGTCTTCCAGAAGAATCCACGTCTTCCAGAAAAATCAGTGTCTTCCAGTCAATCCATGTCTTCCAGCTAATCTATGTCTTCCACCAATTCAAGTCTTCCAGAAACCCAAGTCTTCCACTAAATCCAGGTCTTCCAATAGATCTATGTCTTCCAATAACCTCCAGGTCTTCCAACAAAGGTTATGTCTTCCTGAAGATGTACATCTTCCTGAAGATTGATGTCTTCCAGAAACTTCTCAAGTCTTCCACATATCCATGTCTTCCATACAATCCTGATCTTCCGGATAATTTGGGTCTTCCTGAAAATTCATGTCTTCCCAATATCAATGTCTTCCATTGAGCTTCTGGTCTTCCATCCATCCACATCTTCCAGAAAAATCCATGTCTTCCATTAAATCCATAGCTTCCAGGAAGTCCAAGTCTTCCAGATAATCCATGTCTTCCAGATAATCCATGTCTTCCGGATAATCCATGTCTTCCCAAAAATCTACGTCTTCCCAAAAAATCCAGGTCTTCCCAAAAATCCAGGTCTTCCCAAAAATCCAGGTCTTCCCAAGAATCCAGGTCTTCCCGAGAATCCACGTCTTCCCAAAATCCAGGTCTTCCCGAGAATCCACGTCTTCCCGGAAATCCACGTCTTCCCGGAAATCCAGGTCTTCCCGGAAATCCAGGTCTTCCCGGAAATCCACGTCTTCCCAAGAATCCACGTCTTCCCGGAAATCCACGTCTTCCCGGAAATCCACGTCTTCCCGGAAATCCACGTCTTCCCGGAAATCCACGTCTTCCCGGAAATCCACGTCTTCCCGGAAATCCACGTCTTCCCGGAAATCCAGGTCTTCCCGGAAATCCAGGTCTTCCCGGAAATCCAGGTCTTCCCGGAAATCCGCGTCTTCCCGGAAATCCGCGTCTTCCCGGAAATCCAGGTCTTCCCGGAAATCCGCGTCTTCCCGGAAATCCGCGTCTTCCCGGAAATCCGCGTCTTCCCGGAAATCCGCGTCTTCCCAGAAATCCACGTCTTCCCGGAAATCCGCGTCTTCCCGGAAATCCACGTCTTCCCAGAAATCCAGGTCTTCCCAGAAATCCGCGTCTTCCCGGAAATCCGCGTCTTCCCGGAAATCCAGGTCTTCCCGGAAATCTGCGTCTTCCCGGAAATCCGCGTCTTCCCGGAAATCCGCGTCTTCCCGGAAATCCAGGTCTTCCCGGAAATCCGCGTCTTCCCGGAAATCCGCGTCTTCCCGGAAATCCGCGTCTTCCCGGAAATCCGCGTCTTCCCGGAAATCCGCGTCTTCCCGGAAATCCGCGTCTTCCCGGAAATCCGCGTCTTCCCGGAAATCCGCGTCTTCCCGGAAATCCGCGTCTTCCCGGAAATCCACGTCTTCCCGGAAATCCACGTCTTCCTGAAAAATCTGCATCTTCCCAAAAAATTCGTGTCTTCCAAGGAGTACATGTCTTCCTACACCTCCAGGTCTTCCAGCATCTCCAGGGCTTCCAGCATCTCCACATCCTCCAGCATCTGTGTCTTCCAACATCTTCAGGTCTTCCATCAACAGGCTCAATATCTGCACCTTCCAGTATCTCCAGTGTATCGGTTATCTGATATTCAGTTTTCCAGTGTCTGCCGTATCCAGGTATTGAAAGTTGTTTCTTAGTTTATTTTTTCGTAATATTTCCCTAGCTTGGGGATTTTTCAAATCTACTCTTTTCCATCCAAGTCTTTCTGGGTGCAGCTATTTTTAGACTAACCTCTCAAATTAACTATTCCTGTTTTTAGTAGAGCTAGTCTCAAAATATTTAAAAGCATACTGCCTCTTACAGATCAAGTTTTGGAGGCCAACAGTAATACTGTCTGTGATTTCTTGATATTGGGAAATGTATGTTCTTTATAACTTTGAAGGATTGTATTAAGAAAGAGGCTTTATAGAATTGATACAGTGATTTTACAACTTTGGTAATGGTTTTGGTTTTGACAATCAACCATGTTCAAGAACAAGTGAAAATTTTTAATGAGGAAATTTCATCCTTTAAAGACTATAATTTTATAATATAGGTGAATATAACAGCATACATCTGTCTATTTTGAATAATATTTATTCCTATGTGATAATAATAATAATAATAACAATAATACATAGCATTTGCTGTGTCCAGGCACTGTTCAAAGGTCCTTACATGCATCAACTCATTTAATCTTCACAACCCATTGAGATAGGAATTATTATTATCTCTGCTTTACAGATGAGGAGTCAGGTATAATAGTGGTGAAGAAATTGCGAAAGGACACAACTAGTAAATAAAAGAGCTAGAATTGAACCCAACTGACCTATTTCCAGAATCCATGATTCTACCACTATAATTTTTGTATCTAATGATGAAAATCAAGATGACAGTGAAGGGAACTAAGATTTTATGGTTCGCATATTGTATGTAGACTATTATAAAATCTCATGTACAAACAGTCATACTTTAACCTGTCACTGGCAGAACCTTGTTTGTATCAATAGAGTCATCCTAAAACCAGCTACTATACCATCCCCTTGCTTATATATGTTGAAAGTACGTGCAAATATTTCCTCATACCATCTTTGACAAGAAGGATACTGAGTTCAAATACACCTTACTTTAGTATCATTATCATAGCTTCATGATTGGAATCTAATGCTTGGAAATTTAACTTTTCCTTCCACTTTAATACCTGTCACTCATCATTTTCTAGTCTTAACCATACTATCCAAATCACTTACTATTAGCTTGTTTTTGACCTCCAGGATCTTCCTGCTCCTTGAGATATCACTGACTTCCTGGGTTCCCGACCACTGCCTTGTATTCACCTAATGGTAACTACAATTTCAATCCCAGAATGCTGAGCTAGAGAGCTGTAGTTTTTTTTCCTTTCTCTAAGTCTCAGTTCTTCTCAGGCACTTCTAGCAATACTGCTACTCATGCCTCTGGATGATATGAAAAACACAGAAGCCATATAATGCACTTATAGTTAGGCAAGTAATATCTGAAGATTTCCAGTCATCTGTGTGATAATAAAAAGTAACAACAACAATCGCAACTGAAATATCAATACCTTTTGAATTAGAGTTGACAAAGTGCTATCACTTCATTTACCCATCCATCCATTCATTCAATAAATATTTATTGAGCGCCAAATTTGTGCCAGGCATTTTTAATGGAGCTTAAAATTATTTGGGGGTTACATGCAAAGTACAGATATTAATTAGTTTTCAGTTGTGGTAAAAAGTAAGTATAGGATGCTACATATAAGTCAAGAAGAGCATTCCCACAGAAGTCAAACTTACGCTGATGCTGAAGGATCTAGTTTCTTTTTCAGTTGTTACAGTAAGCTTATGATTTAGATAACAGAGGTGCTTTTTTCACTTTTACCTAATTAGAGTAATAGGTATGGGTTTGACATGGTGTTTGAGTTTCTTTTTTCCTTTACTATTCCATTATGTCTTAATCAGCAACATTGAAAATACGTAATTATACACATTTTATTCAAAACATTTATCCAAATTATTTTCAATGTGGATAACGCAAACTGAGTGTGGTGTCTATGATCTCAGCGTCCTATGGATTAAATCAGGCAGTTTGAGAGTTCAAGTCCAACTTGGCCTACTTAAAGAGATCTTGTCTCAAGGAAAGGTAGATAAGTTTTATAAGGCTGTGATGGCCAAGTGGTTAAGCATTGGACTTAGAAAAGAAAGTATAGATAATTCATACATAATGATGTTGTTCATCCTTACCGGCTATAATGAAAATGGAAAAACTCACTCTAGATTTTGTGTGTATGTATATATGTGCAGCTACACTGTTGTTTATGAGTGCACATGTGCACTGTGTGTGCATATAGAAATCAAATATGGCTTTAGTGTCACTCTTCAGAACCCATCTGCCTTGTTAATTTGTTGAGTTTTTGTTGTTGTTGTTTGTCTTGATTCAAGGTCTCTTATTAGTCTAGAGTTTTCCAGTTAGGCCAATTGCCCTCAGGTGTCCATATGTCTCTGCTCCTTACCCCAGTGCTGGAATTACAAGGACACACCATTACATGTAGCCTTTAAAAATATAACTCCTCATGTTTGTAAAGCATATACCTTACTGGCTGGGTTATCTCCCCAGTCACTAACTCCAGCTTTAAAGGAATTAGTAAGTAAATGTGTTATTTATATATACTATTTATCATTAAATATTTATGGTTTGTTCATTGTGTAATTTTAGTTTCAAAATCATTTTGATGATATAAAATGTGGCTGCAGCTATTTTTAAATATACAGTCAAAGACAAATGGCCATTAGAGAATGTGAACTGGTTATCATAGAGTAAGAATGATGTGTGGGACTTTTTTATACTTTTGCTGTTTTTCTCCATAGTTCTTTCCATGCAAAATATATCTTATGTTGAAGAAAAACATCTAAATAGTCATATACAAAGTTTATTATTTGTCTTTTGAAAATGTACATGTAACTGTTTTACTACAAAACTTAAAAATACAAAGTGAAAAAGTATATTCTCAAATTATCTCAATTCTCAAAGAAAATCATTATAAAGACTGACATATTCTTTCAGAATTTTCAGCATTTTTAAAAAATGGAATGAATCCACTATGTAACCTATTTTTTCACGTGATAAATTGTAAGTTTCTACAAGAGTAAATTGTGTATTTATGTTATGACTTTAATATAAGATATATTTATTTGAACTCCCCTTAGTAGGCATTATATTCCTTCCAACATGTTCCTGCTATTAAAACAAATTTTGATAAGCACTCAGTACAGTGCAGGTTGTGTAATACCCAAACTGTATCATATTACACTGTAGTGCAGTGTATACTATGTGAAAAGTTGTTTACATATTATTTAGAACAAATAACTAAAATAAGTTACCAAGTCAAAGGTTGTTAACTTCATTGTGTTTTATCACAGAAAAAAATACAAGCAACCCAGATGCCAACAATTGGAGATGTTTAAGAAAAAATTATAAGTATATGATAGTTACTTTCCAGAAGATCCAGTTTATATCTGGAAGAACATTTACTGAAATGGAAATATGTTCCCAAGGTAGTATCAGTAAGAGGAACACTCACATTTTATATATATATACATATATATATTATAATATTCATGACTTGTGGATGGGAAATGACGTTCATATCTTCAGAAAAGGAACTAGAATATACGTCCTAAAATTTTAGCAGAAAAAGTTACAAAAGGAGGCCAGGTTGAGCTTATATTTATTTTTATTAAAATATAGTGGGCCATTTGGTAAAGTACATGCCACACAAGCATGATGTCCTGAGCTTCGAAGCCCAGCACGCACATAAAAATGACAGTGTCTATCTGCAAAACAATTGTTGACAGACAGATCCTTGGGGCTCACTAGCCAGTGTACCAGGTTTGATACGTTCCAAATTCATTAAGAGACCGTGTCTTAACAAGTAACATGGAGCCTGATCATGGAAGATGCATGAAATCTTCCATGCAAGTGTTCACAATGCACATATATCTGTGTGCTCATGTGCACATACTCACATGATCATATATGTGCACCCTCACACACAAATACATACTTATGATAAATGCTAAACAAGAGCAGCTATATAGAGAGTAAAAATTGAAAACATTCTTTTCCTAATACTACTGCATAGAGGTAGCTATGATTATTTGACTCTTCTTAGTGATTTGGCTATTAATGCCCATCTATTGTTGAGTGTCTATTAATGCCCATCTATTGAGTGTTTCACAAAATAGAATTATTATATATGTTATATATTATATAAGTAGATTTAATATTATAAAACTTCATGTTCATTAGAAAGTCATTTTGCATTGCATTAGTTATTATTAGGTTCTTTTTGTGTGTGTGCATTGAGAGGTCAGTGGAAAACACTAAAGTCTGTTTTCTCCTTAGATCACACGGGAATGAAGCTCAGGTCATCAGGCCTGGCAGTAGGAACCTTTACCTGCTGAGCCATTCTGCTGGCTTGAAATTCATGTGTTAAACAGCCATAGTGCATTATATAGTATATATTGTACTCTTACTCTATTCTTTCCACGTGGTATGTGTTGATTTAGGCTTATAGCATTTTATTGTAATTATAGGAAATGCTATGAAGAGTATCGTGTTGAATTTATCTTGTCCACTTTTATAAGTATTTTTGTAAACTAGTAGCTTAGAAATAAAAGTTCTACATCAAAGTGTTTGATTTGAATTGCCTGTCTATACTGCTGGCCACTATTATTCATTTTAGTTTCTGTCAATATTTTTTCATGGAAATAATATCTTGAAATAATATTCCTGTAATAACTAAGGAAGTCTTTTCATATATCTATTCATTTTTCTTATGTTGGCCATTTTTTCATATCCTACAATTTTGTTGTGTCATTTGTCTTTGTGAAAATTAATTTTGGGATATTTCTAGATAGTAGAGCTGATTTCCTCTTTTTTGGTATGATTGAAAATGTCTATCATTTGGTAAATTTATTTGGGGTTCTACGTTC